CGAAATTCGGTTCGCGTTCCCCGCACGCCTAACACTAAACACTGAAGGTGTCTGTACATCTGCTCCCAGTAGCACCGGTGAAGTGGATAGATAGATAACTGACGATAATTACATCCAGCTGGTTCAATTCATAGTCTGTGCATTATCTCACCAGGTGGAATGCATTAATACCATAATGAGGGAGAACCGGAGGCTGGAATTAAGAACACTCCCGTTGGATTGTGAGTGTAGTACAAGGTATTTGTTTTGCGTTTCGAACCAGAGAATTGTAGAGAGTGATTCGACGACCCTTTTAGGATTACTCATGACACTCCTTTGATTAACCGCATTTCTCTTCCTGAAAATTGCATCATGATACATTCAATAAAAGGAAGTGAAACAAAAAGATAGAAGAAAAAATAATCACTATGGCTGAAAACCAAAATGGGGGTAACATTTAAACTATCTGAGAAGACCTTTTACAGTAAATCCAATTCGGAACGTAGAAGGCCAGATTCTGGAAGTTTTCCATTTGTGTAAATGGAATACGATTGGTTGTAAGCACACCTCTGGATGTGTGGAGATGTCAGTTTTGGTATGATTAGAGGTAATACTTGTGTTCAGTTTGAGAGTGATAGGAAGAGAAGGAGGAGGAGGGTGATCTGGTTTTTATGAATATAAAATTGATCTTTAACACTATGTCCGAACTATCTCCATCTGATTGGCTGACACAATGGGGGGTCTGCATTGAAGAACCATGTTTTCGTTACGAGTTGCATATCAGATGGACAACGGTGCGATGGAACTTGTCCATATGACCTTCGCTAATGACAAAATCACGTCAACGACATGATTCTTCTTTTCTTTATTACACACCGGTGTAATAGACAACAGACGGGGTGGAACCCCATAGTCAAGCAGACCTGCTTTTTAATGACGGTAACCGGCAACCTAAGCCCTGGGACTTGGAGTAGCGAGCCACATAAGGCCCCACTTGGTCAGGCATGATATAGAACCGGGCGACAGTAAAGCTGTCTACCACCAATGTTGGGTGCTAGTGGCGGGGCTAGAACCTCGGACCATAGGGTCCAAAACGCGCCGGTGACAGCAACTAAACTACTGTACCACAAATATCTCATGGAATTCACTATTCGTCTTGTGATCTGTTTAATGCGTATGGCTGTTCACTGCGCATGAATAATTTCGTAAAATACATTGGATCGGAGCCCCCTCTGGGAGATATCATTCCAATATACTACTTTACAGCGGAGTGTGGTCGTTGCTTGTAAAGTTGATCGCAGAATTAATAGATTGAACATAATATTCATGTCCTCAATCCGGTTTCTGGATTTGTTTCCGATATCCTTGATTTGTTTGTTGGAAAACTAATCGGTTTACACTTTTTAATTACAGCTAAGCAAAAGGAAAAAAGCCAAACTCCGGCCGATATGCTTTATGTCTATCAATGGGAATCTTCCAGAAGTGAGGTTATTTTAATATAATCGAATATGGGATCAGGAGTTGCAGTACGAGTTGAATTACCCTCTGGATTTATAGCGATACTAATGAAATAGCACATTTGAAAAGCTGCATTCTAGCCACATACAAGATTCCCGTGGTAATTTTGACCAAGGACAACGGTTACATTGAGTCTTGAATAATTCCAGAGACACTTACTAAACTCTCGTGCGCTTCATCCCTCTAAATCTGTTGGTTATTATGAACCCAGAGTATATCGGTTTCCCTCGAAAATGGGGATTACCCCTACTATTGTGGTCAGCACTGGTTCGTGTAATACCAAGTGCTAGATCCAGCGTGTTATTCTCTGGATAGTTTCTTATTTGTTCAAGTGCGTTTGCCATGAACACTCAAGTTTCGTGTTATGAAATTTACACATGGAAGGCTAATTAATGAGAAAACACCCCTCTCACGAAATCTGCCTTGACCTCAGTTACATAACAAAAAAAGATCTGGCCATCCCGGACTCGTACTGCAACCCCAAGAAACCAGCCGAGGGACAATGTCCGGACAATATGAAGTGTATCCGGATCACGAGTTCTATTCAGGATGATGGTGGATATGCCGGATTTGAAAATTTTCGTAAGTTGAATGGATATTGCAGGGTGTCGTAACAGTAGTGAAATTACCCTCTTGTGTTCCATGCTTTTGCGCTTTAAATATATTTGCCTATTTAGGAAAATGAAAATGAATTAGAACTATCAGTGATTAATAAATGAACTGACAAATAGAAAAGTCAAATAAAGTTATAGTAGCTCAAATTGGAGATGCACTGAGCGACAATGGCGAGGAGGTTTGTAAACCATCATCACATTGACTCACGAGGTTGTTTTTCAATCCCACGTGTGTTCGAATCCTACCACCTCAAGTTTACCACTCGGTTTCCCCAGGTAATGCCCTAGTGGCTGCTACTTACCCCGTTTCTACCAGTTGTTGTGCCTGTAAAAAAGAAGGTACAAAAATTATCATCAGTAGTATTACGGCCTAAAGCTACCATTTACGTATAGCACCTGGCAGCTTTTGATAGGTTGAAACTTCCCATCCCGAAATTTGGTTACACAATGGTCTATTCAGTAGATGAATAAATGAAGGTGGTCATTCTTCCCAGTGAATAAAGTAGAGCTTGAGTGATATATTATTCCACCAGTAATGTACAGAACGAAAGAAATGTAAGTACGTGTCGAACAGCAGAGAGATGGGAAACGAAAGTCTTATGATCAACACGTGAAAGATGCTGTAGAAAGAAGTACCTTCCGAGTTGCCCTGTCGTGCTTCCTTCTTCTTCAGGCGGTTTTTCTTTAAAATAAGAGGGGAAAATCCAGATGTGTAATAGCTCCGAAACTGAACTCGCTCTCAAGTCTCGTCACCAGTGGCTAGGAAAACTCGACGTCCCATACTATAAACTGGGAAGCCGAGGTAGGTCTAAAGGCACAAGCTCGTGGTCACCAAAGCTCAATTCAAGCTCCTAGTGGCACTCGTCGATTATGCATTTTAAATATAACCCAACAGTTTGAGATGATATCCTGAAGTCCGTATTGAAAGTTGAAGACTATTTTTATCCAAAACGTACTAATGTACTCCTCTTAGGTTGTGTGCTGTTCCCAATGAATGTGAGGAATGTCGTGAAGTTGGGGAATGTATATTTATGCCAGATGATGTAAATTTTCACACTGAACTGTCAGAGTTTACAACCCATGCATTTGCTAGATGGAATGTGCCTCAGGCATTATATATCTATATTTCGAGCGATATCGTATCCGCACCGTACACTTTTTGAGTTACAGAATAACAAACTAGTCTGGCGCACATCTATATGTGGTTGGAGGCAAATTAGATATGAATGATTGCTTAAGGGCTTTTATAACACTCAACTTTGATAACTGACGCACTCGACTTATTCCAGCAGCGACTAACAAAACCATCACACGATACATCGGTAAAATCTGATCCTTTTGTGAACATCTTGGGCTTAACTAATGGGTTATTTTTAATTATGGATGAATAACAATTGTTCAGAAGGAGAGCCTCGTACAGTAGAAGACTGCCAACCAACGAATGTGGAATTAGGGCGACGGGAGATATGGGAACACACGAACCAAGAGACAATATGATGCCGATCTTAAACACTGGAGCCTCCTTACCAATCTTTGACCTCAGACATAGACGATCTTTTCTGCTTTCGTTAGCTTATTTCCTTTAGATTCATATCCTTCTAGTTTCATTCGACTTTATTGGTAACTAGCTTTACTATCCTCCAGGTCAATGCAGACCCTATCCTACTGCGGTTTAGACTGTTGATTACCGTGAGCGAATCAGGAGAGTTCTCTCTTCTATGGTTGGTCAGATTATGGTGTAGAATTAAACATAAAAATAAACTTCTTTCATATAGTTGCATGATTACTGGTTTTGCCATTGTTGCTTTTTTCACATTATAACATCGTAATCGTCATAGATCATTCAATAACATAAATCTCGGGTAAATTGAGAAAATCAACGAAGACAAGACTCGGTGATAAAATCTTCGAGGATTCAAAACAGTTCGTTGCGTTTTGGTAGTGATACGGTGAACACAAAAGAAGAAGCAACTGACTGGATTTCTTCAACAATGAAATCGATAAAATGCGGTTAATGCGAAGAGAGTATTACAAAAAGAAAAAAGATGAAATGATCGATGCAGGTTGATGTGGACCGTGTTAATCAAATCACAGTGAATCCCAAAAAGCAGAATATATACGGCAAGTTAGTGATAGCATTGTTTGTCAACGGATAGTGGGGAGGGAAGGGATGAAAGTCACCGTAAGAACACTTATTTTACGCTTTACCAGAGCGAGTGCAGTATCGTTAGAGTGTCGGTCAGTTTAAATGTGGTTAACTGAAAAAATGATACTGCTGAAAATGGTCGCAATGTAATCGCCCTTGGGTAAATACATTACTAAGGAAAATGTGATTGGAAAAACGTTTCTTTTCAGCTTCCGCCGGTCAAATGAAACGGTTAAAATGCATTAGTCATACATGGAACTACCCCTGCAAACACACATTAGGCACGGGTTACGAAGAAAACAATGTCTACTCAGAAGGCAAGTGGGAAAAATGTAAAATGCGGCATGAATAAACATCTATTTATATGTAAAAGAACGTACTGATGCATCAAATCTGATGAAACGCATTTTCACAGGAAATGACACAAAATCTGCTGAGAAAATAAAATAAAATAACAGCAAACCGAAATTCCCTAGCTGTTCCTGTAGACTCGATTCCCCCGTTCAAATGCTTGTCAAGGTGTTCGGTTACCGCTTTATGTTTAGATGTATGAAAGATACATAGAAACTGCAAGATCTCAAAATTTAATATCTCTACTCTAGGGATATCTTCATGAATTGTGCTTCACTGCAATAATTTCATTATTCCTCATTTCCGTTTCCTTTTAGATATCAGCATCTTCACTGTCTATCAGGCCGCATCTCAAGAAGGTTGGGTGTTCATCATGTACCGTGCAATGGATTGTCTTGCTTCATGGAAGGGAGTGGTCTACTTCATGTCAATGATTTTTCTAGTCGCATGGCTTGTCAAAGTATGTTCTATATTAATTCCTATTTACTAATATAGTATGGCGTCCATGCCACCCTTGATCAACGGGTAAAATAGACCCTGTAAAGCTTAGTGGTCGCCTAATTTGACCGTTTTATTTAATTTCCACCAGTTGGGCATTGGAAATGTGAAGAAAACTCATGCATGCAAGAATTTTGTTCTATTTCAAGTTCGAAAACAATAATTGTGCTGAGCGGTTATAACATATCAGTTTCCATGATCTACCTGGACATGTTACCTACAAATCATAAATGAATATCGCACTGCACGGTTCAAAATGACGCGAACCCAAAATTTTCTTGTTAAAATCCCCGAAAATCTTTTTTTCTCTACGGTCCATGGACTTTTCGCTTTTTATTTCCTCAAATTTTATTGTTCATTACTGTATTACCGACAGCAATCAAAGTAAATAATATTATGACGTTGCCTGACAAAGACGATGCCACATGTATACAGTTGCAACCGATTCAAGTTGGTGGGATAAGATGTTTGACTGTCAATCAAACGTAAATTGAACATCAGCGGGGCTCAATCAAATAGTTGACTCGAGCGCATCTCTTTAAGACGTCGGCTATAAAGGAAGTTCAAACTTTTTCCAGAGTGTTTCCTCTCTTTTCATATCACAAAAAATGTTTTGGTTGTCAAATAACCTGTTACTAAAACAAAATAATTTAATTGTCCACTGCCCTTCAGAGTGATCGAATTATACAGATTGAATTATACAGACTGATATTATGAATGATTTAAGATGGGTTTCGTTTCCTATATCACTGTGGTTCTGATCCATAAAATCCTCGATATTTCTTCATTTTAAAAAGCACTAAATTAATCTTTCTGTAAGCTTAATGCTCCCCCGTCAAATATTTGCCATCTAATCCTAAGTAAGGCCGTGAGTTTCAGAGTTTGATCCACGAGAGAAAGAAATTCAGCATGGATCCATTCTTATTCATGAAGAATGCACTGCGTGTTTGATGTAGCTATCTATATTTATATTATTACTTTTACAAGAGACTATTGGGAGGTTCCGATTGAGTTACATTACTGAATATTCTATAAACAAAATTTTCCATAAGTGGTCAGAGGATTTTTTCTCGTTTCTTCAAACTGCGCTCATAACCGCAATATACATTGCTTTCTTTCTCTTACACACACTTGGATGCAATACCTTTTGCTCCCGCACTTCTGGCCAACAGAATGTGTTCATTGCCGTCCTCATTGAGACGTTCGCTGAGATTCGAGTACAGTTTCAACAAATGTGGACGCCCAGACACGCGGCTGATGCAGACTCGTCCAAAGTGAGTCCCCTTCAAATCATTTTCCTTGTCTGTAACCTGTTTCCCATGTGTGTGTATAAGCGCCGGAAGTTATGAGAACAAATTTGGGTTGTTTTTTTTCTGTTGTTTTTTTGCAACATTTCCCCGTGTCTTCAAGCCAAAGCAAATGGGGCTAAATGTGATATGAACAATCGAGGCAAATTCAAAGTTTTATTATTGGTAAATTACAAATCGAATGCTTACTGAAGCCGATAGCATCTGTGTACAGTGGGTTTGGTTGATAGTGCAATTAAATAGCAAAGTATAACGTTCACTTACGGGTGCACTGTTTCAATGTTTCATGGAGCCATGAACTGAATGAATTAAGGGTTGGAGCACAAACAACTTTAGGTGGAAGGGTGTTCGAGGTAATTCAAACTCTGAGACTAAAAGAGTGATGCCTGCAGTCTAGCCGACGCTTTTGGAGAAAAAAATTAAACGGATATCTCCTGAGGTGGCCATTCCTGGATAGTGTTAGCAGTGTACTACACGAATTGTTAGATTGATATAGCATTTGCTATACAAAGATCACTTCTTAGAGTACTCTAAGGTATTCAGATGGGAAAACTCCGAGAATAAACAACCTTTCACCATAGGTTTTAGATTGTAACCCTTTGACCACTTTGGTTGTTGTTCTCTGCGAATGTTCGAGTACCTTTTGGTCCCGCCTTAGCCACGGACTCCAAGCGAAGAGATTTGGCAGAAAATTTCCTCTAAAACTAAGTGCGCATAAATTTATCAAGCACACAGTATCTTGATGTAAACATCGGGGTTCATCTTACAATATTATCCTTGATTTGACAAAAGAAAGTATTTTCCGTCCATTTGGGTGAAAAAATTATTTACGTTTTTCCATTCAGAGAACCATATTTATCCAATAGAGATTGTATTCCGTTATTTCAGATAAAATAACATTTAAAGAGAAGCAGTAGTCAGTGAACCTAGACCGACGTAGGTATTTTACTGGACAACACACGTTAAGTTGCTGCTCGTGGGTAATACGCAATGTACTCATGTTGCAACTGAGCAGTGTTGATCCAAAGATCCTATGCATCAGCCCTTTATGGTTCCTATGAAAAATGCGATAACACTATTCAAATAAGTTTCAAATCGCCTGTTTATCAGAATCAACACAACCGTCTTTCTTCCCCAAAATAGGTGTTCCAATTTGACGGCATGACTTGGAAATTGGTGCCTGTTCGCGAGAGCCGACCAAAAGGGATTGCACCGAGGTTTTTTCAGGAGGTAAGTCGATTCTGAACTTAAATTTTCTTTTCTGTCGCCATTCTATTGTTCGTAAACTAAGTTACAGATCACGAAATAAGCCCTTTGTCAAAGTCGAAACACGAGGCTTAGACGAACTTAAGTTTTCGAGCAGTCCATTATCGATCCTTTAGAGTTAAAACTCTTTTGGATTCACCAAAATGAACAGTTGGATGAAAATTAATTGAATCCAATTAAATTAGATTAAGTACTGGGAGAAAACTGGGTCTGAGATGAACGTTAAATCAGGACGGTGAATGCGTGAAGCACGTAAGGACAATGCCCACAGAATGTCACAATTTTGTTAAACGTCCACGAAATCAGTAGAGGAACAACTGTGGTTTCGTCTGTAAAGAAAAGGAAGTTCACATTTTAAGCACTATATATACTCAGAACAATAATTCGAACAGCGAAAGACCTAGTTCAACTGGAATTAAGATGCTTGGAGCAAACTTTTGCATCCGGTGGTTTGTCAAAATGAGAATTGTTGTGCACGAGTTTTCTTTTAAAAAACTGTCAGCTTAATAAAGGAATGCTTTTAAGACTATTGTGGCAGATAAGGAATCACAGTGGTAAATGTTTTCTTGACACGTCTACTCCTAAGAGTTTCGGTGGTGTTTGTGAAACAGCTTAGGTTATTAGCACTGGAATCAGTCGAATAGGAGTTCTACTCTAGCCACCGTCGTGTATCTTAGTCACCCCTTGTCCGATCTTAATTCGCTCTTCTTGAGAATGCCATGTATAAGTATTCAGTAAATGTTATAAATTNTTATAAATTATGAAGGTTATTATTACCTTTATAAATTATCATGAATTGAAATTCTGCTAACAATATCGGTCTGTTCTATGAAACTTTTACTACCATTGTACAAAGGTAACAAAAAATTTTCTTTTCCCTGGGTAAATCTTACAATTTTATTTCCACATTCACGTTTTCGCAGACCATACTCAAATCAACCGGATTCAATGTGGTCATTATGGTTCTGGTGTTGGCCAACGCGATCACCGCAGCCGCGTTGCACTTCAACCATCACAGTATGCGTGATGACGGTGGGTTGGAACAGTTCAGTCAACTTGATGGGTTCTACTTTGCCGAGGTCAGTTGCCCAGTGAAAATCTTTTCATACTTTGGTTTTCCTCAGCACATTTTGAGAGTTGTTGGATATCAAGAAACTAGCAAGCAAACTCGTTTTCTATGCCTCATTATTAAACCAAACACAATAGTTAGACAGCTCATAGTGCTAGTGGGTGATGGAGTGAAAAAGAGAATAGAGTTTGGCATTAGATGAGATATGCGTTCGCATTAGAGAATCTTAGTTCGATAATCCATGTAATGATCTGTATCAATTTTTGTTGTTGTTCAAATGTTTTTTACACAACCGAGTTAGCCATGGATGGCTCTAACACATTAGGTTTGTTCGGGCGGATTGCAATATCATCCATGATGGACGATTTTTGACTTCCTTGGAACGTGGTCCCCGACTGAATTAATGAATGACTAAGTTAGCTAAACTGAATGATGAACTTCAGCAATGTGAGTAGCGATTACCGTGGCACCATTTTGATCAGTAATTTTCCCAGTTATTCAAACGGTATAATCCGAGATACTACTAGTGGTTCCCTTGATATAGATTGATCGATATGAAAAATGAATTAATAAATGCATAGTGAGATCATATTAATTGGCAATCTGTATTTCCTTCTTTCATTGGTTCGGAAGAGAAAATTAGGCGCATCTCAGTGGCATGTTATGTACTTCTAACACCAGATTTATTCTCTCCGTTGACGTATCACTTCTCATTAGAATGGATGTGCAGTTCGAATTCCTCGAAATGATGGACATTCTGCTTCGTGTACGCTGATTCAGTACACAATTATATTTCAAACAATAAGAGTATCCGTTTTATCTAAGCACATCTAAGAACTTTAGTTCGTTCTACTTACTTCGAGTTCATTGGGCATAACCTTGGTATTATGTTGAATATGTAGCAAAGCAAATGTTTCTCGCATTGCACTGATATTCCAGCTACGATAATCTGACCAAAGTGTCTGATCCATGTATGTTTCCTATGGATAGTATGCTTGATGGACCGATCAGAGGGGTGAAAAAGACGTCCATCTAATACGTATCCACTGCCCGGCCTGGAATGAGCGCTCATTGGGGGAAAATAGTGCTATGTTTCTCGTGATTTTTTTCGATTTAACTCACGTGATTGTCGTCACCCATGTAGGGGCAATATCGCTATAAATGTTTCTTATGTTACGCTAACGAATCATTTTTAAGTTTAACCATGAAGATTTAGACTGGCAGAGGTCCTATCACAATTCACTCTTTTCGGCGATACGACTGACAATCGAAGAAGGGTTATACTCTACCTTATTACTGAGTGCACTATAGCTGTAACCTGACACGGTATTATTTTACGCAAAGGGTATTCGGGGTTATTTAGATATTTTTACATTTTTTCTTTTCATTTTTCTTTTGATTTTACTTCCTTTTGTTGAATAAACAATGATACAGATTTCTGGGAGGGGAAAGCGACCAATCAAAGGATTGTCATTCAACACAATGGGGAAATTCAGTCGGTGGCGGTGGCATTTTAACACATCCCCGGGGTGGTAATTTGGTAACGTTACCGCCACCGCAGATGAAGATTGAGAAGCACGGGATTAGATTACTATCTCATTAGCCAAACTTCATCAAGCTGGTCCTCGACAATACGGTTGTGGATTTCATCTTTGATTAATCAACTAACTAACTGAAGTTTGTTCATTCGATTTGTGATAACTGTTGCTCCTTCACCCCCCCCCCATCCCACGTTTTTTGCCAGATTTTGTTTACAGTGTTTTTCAATCTAGAAGCCATGTTCAAGATTTGGTGTCTCGGTTGGTGGAATTATTGGCATCGATCCCTGTTCAAATTCGAACTATTCCTCTGCGTCGGCACAAGTATCCACTGTATTCCACAACTCTATCGAACGGAACTAACATACTTGGCAGTAAGTTTTAGTGCGAGTTGAAAAAGAAGAGTATCGGAGGGAATAATATGTATCGTCGTTCCATCCAATTCACTTCTTTGTTGTTCTCGTTCCAAAAAGAAATCCAGTTTTCTTCGAACCGGGGTTTCAAAACATGTATCAATAATGGAATTATCCCATGTCGTCCCGGTTATTCAATGAGATTACCTAAAATATCCGTTAGTTTCCAGTGGATATTAGTAGATACCGGGCAAAAATGCAAGCCAAAATTGAAGTGCGTTTTAAACACGGACTGTCTCGTTTAGTACTCTTTCACGGATCACAGCTTTCCGCTCATTAATGAACCAGAAAAGAGCTTAATAATCCCTCACGATTAGGGGTAAACAAACCAAACTGGTTGTGCAAACCATAACTCATTCGGCGCTGAAACAAATGATTGGAAATTCTTTTGGGGGAAGAAATTCTTGAGATTATATGGCAACATACCACCAAATATTTATGGACCTTGCGAAGAGTCATGCCAGTGCGATTTACCTCTTGGTAGCTTCTTATAATTCTAGTTTCCTTAGGGGATAATCAGCAGCAATTCTCAACGATTTTGCTGAAAAATTTAACAGTGAGAAACGTAGCTATCAAACCCACTTGTCTTCGATTACCTTCTACTCTAGACAGTCCGCTTCTCTGAAACTGGAAATAAGAACAACATTTCGCCTAGCATCTTAGGCTTTGTAAATATGTAAGTCAGTTGAAGGATAGTAGTAGGCTTTGTGTGGCTTGTAGGCATAAGTAGGTGTTGGTAAGTTGAAATTAAGGAAGATATTCTTGAGGATCATAATCGAGTGGAAAGCTTATTTTAAGAGTTAACCCTTATCATGACACTAGATTCAAATTGAGACCGTGTCAGTTGAAACCTCTTGGCAATTTGCATACAGTGAAGGAAGCAATCGATTGAAAAGATAGTCGATGACTTTCCGAGTTGTTACTAGGTCATACTTACAAACAGTTTTCGCTGAATCAGATAGCACTTGAGAGAGAATCTTAAGATTATCTTTTGATGATTGGAATCTAAGAGGCATTCCGTAGCTGAATTTTATTATATTGCTATCTAAGCATGAAAAAACATGTTCCACCCACCGCAAAACAGTATGCAAACCTGATATCTATATTTTTTATGCAACAATAGTAAACATCGAAGACAATTATAAAAAGGAGCTTGTTTTGAATATTTATCTACTTTTGTCATTCATAAGGTGAGAATGTCAAATACAATGGGTTTTTGTCAACAGCCAATGGTTCAATATATCTCTAACGTATATGTTGCTGCGTGCCAGCTGTGCTGTTTAGAAACCATTTTCCGCGTTACAATATGAACATAAGGAAACTTTTAAATCTAACAATATTCTGTTTGTAAAAGTCAATAAAAAGCTGTTTTACCTTCATTGCTGGCAGTGCCCCCAATGGGACTTAGGGAAAACACAAGAACACCATACAAAAAGAATTCCGCTGTCTTTGATACCGCATAGGTTACACATGGAAAAATGTCTAAAATCATGTAAAAACCCGCTGACATATGGAGTAATTTAACCGGATATGAAAGATCACCTAAGGCAAACAGCACCTTCTTGCCTAACTAACACCATTTTCATCCTCCCTTTGTAGTTCCCGGAATTCCCGGCTTCTGCTGCAATTAGGCATCCTATTGGTAACCATGAAAGAGGACAGCGTTTTATTTTTGCCCAATTCACATCCGGAGTTCAAGTACAAGAATGACCAGAGAAAAGGCTACTCGATATTTATACTGGAAGAGGGGCAAGGACCTCGAAACCGGTCGTGTACTTTTGGGAAATTTGGTCCAGTCATTCATATACTACTCCTTATAAAACATCTATTCGCTATTAAGGATTAGTTTAGAGGTGAAGTCACTGGCTCAGGTGTGCAATAACAAAGGCGCACCGCTAAACAACCCAGCAAATGCAGAATCTTTTGGTTTTCTGTAACCAAAAAAATATACACATATATGTCCATGCATTCACTGGTGTTTCGTGAACTCAACTTCTTGAAACGTAATGTTTGAACACGTTGATCATGTGACTTTTTCCTTTCAACTTCTCATTAGTAGTTCTGTAACAACCCAGCTCTTCTCTCTCGAAATACTTTCACCAGTCCACTCTCTGGTTTCTTTCCAACTTTGCATCAGGTTTTACGAACCGTTCGTCTGATCAAAGCCTCCCCAATGCTTGAAGACTTTTGTTTCAAGGTAATTGAACGCGTTCAATCCGTTTTCCATTATGTGACTGGCCAGAGGATCAGGCATTTGTTTGACGGTAGAAATTTGCAAAGCACATAAATTATCGTAAAATACAAGATTTACAGTCAGATATAATTCGAACAATTTTCTCGTCTTGTATATTCCAAAGAGCATACAAAGCACGAAAATGGGAATGCAATTTTGTGATTTGAAGCATTTATTCACTGTAATCCTTGTAAATTAACAGGAAACATCAATCCGAATGAATTTAATTTAAATTGCTCATTATCTATGAGATTACTGTAGATCTTTTACAATGAACTACAGGCACTACCGTAATTCCTTTATTCACATGGCTGCTGATCTAGATCCACTTGAAAAAAGTAAATCAATATTTCCGTAATATAAACCGACTTGGAGAAGAAGAAAAAATCGACCAATGCCCAAAATTCACGAGTAAAACTTAACTTTGTTTTGTGTTAATTTGCAGTGTATTCTATTCGTAGGAGGTGGCATACTAGTTTGTTATAAAATAAACTTACCCAGTGCAATGGTCGCTACTTCGTAACATCCGTGACAGGTGAAAACTCTGCGCACCAATTAGGGTGGTTTTGTGAACAATTTTTAGCTGACTGATTCAACAAGTGGGGTTAATGTTTAAGATAACGCCTGCTGCAACTCAAGTTCTGAAATTTGCAATTTATCTAAGTCAAAGATGGATCATACCATGTTTGACAAACGTCCGTAACACAACCAAGGGTCGATACCGAGCGTGCATAATGAAACGGTACCAAGGAAATATAAGAAAGCTGTTCATCAAGGTAATATCGCTCTAGTAATTCTCTTAAAAATGGGTAGTGTAACTTCCTGTAATAGCCACGAGGCTTGGCGCTTCCTTACCCCGGAACACCAGCATCGCTGATAATAAAAAGCGTGGCTGAAACGTTTTGAGCCGAAAACTTTGTCTTGGATCATTTCTATTCGGCCGAGCTCTGAAAACGAACTCACAACTTTCATAGTAGTCTTACCGCAAAAGGTTGTTTGATTATGGTATCAACTAGCGCGCTAGCGAAATGCAATCATGTGTTCCATTCAAGTCGGTACAGATAATTTTGCAATGCCTGGTACATTTTGCACGCTAATGTCCGGATCCGTGTAGCGGACAACATTCAGTCTAAATTGTGACAAAAACGTTCATCGATTAGCAAAAGTAGAGTCGAATCAAAATGAACCTTCTAGGTTAAGGGTCTCTCTCCCTCCCTCAGCTTGTTTTTCCTTTTGTTTTTATCCTATTTCAATTATCCAGTAATTTCCTCCTCGCTTCTGTCACCTAACACGTAGTTTGAACAATGTATCGATTTTAGCTGAACACGACTTTTCTTGTATTCCTTTTGTTTTCGTTGCCCTCCTCTCCTCTCCGCGCCGTTCACCCAACACCCGCCTGAATCTGTGCACAAATCGGCGACACTGTCTCGAAAAATTATCCATCCCCCGACCGTCTCCGCTTTACTGAAACGGGTTCACAGATCTTTGGACCGGCCAAAAAATTGGGCAGTTTAATCTTGTTCACCACCTGTTTCCTGGTCATCACATCCACATTCAGTTTGCAGTTGTTCTGTTTCTTCCAAGCATTCGACTCCAGTTTTGATCGATTCTCCACATTTCCCAAAGTACGTTTACCATTTAGGATTTGTGCGCGTGTGCGTGCGTGTGCACAGACAAACAAAGAATTTATCCTCGTGTTTCACAATCAAACAAAAGCGATCTATATGCACGTGTGTGTGTATGTGACCCGGTTGTTGCGGCACTTGAAACGCCCGCGTAAATTCATTTATGCTTTTTGATCAAGTTATTTGTTTTTAACAGACGCAAGTACACATTATGTCGTTGTGTGTACGGGTGTATTGGCACCTGTACCCGTGTTCACCTTTGCTTCCGTCCGATTTGGCTGCACAATTTGTTTTGATCGGTGGCGGACAAGTAACGGATTGTGTGGTTTCACAACGGCGTGCACACATCGACGGAATAGGACGGGGATCAAAATTATGGGTCCTGCTTTTGGAGTTAAAGTGGTAAAAAGGAACATAAACCAACTTGGAGAAAGAGGAGTACCGAAGAGCTCCATTGAATCTCGACACATGACGAAGCTTCATATAAAATTAACCAGAGTATGATATGAATCGATCAAACTGTTAACTTCTCGGAAACCCGTGGCAAGCATTGATCATCATCGATCTCTGTACTGAGAGTGTGTGGATATCGGAAATCTAGTCATCGGTGGGGAGGGGGAGTGATTAGGCCTAATGATACATTACCCTAATTTCATCTTCAAGCTGCGTCTAGGTTTGTGATGTGACATATACCACCAAAAATTCCCCGGGGGAAGGGTGCATGTTCCGATTGATGGCGATGACCACTGATGACCTGTGTTCATAGTCTCTCCCAAGAAAGTCCAATGCCCTATATTTTCGAGGCGGAAGTATTTTCTTTGAAGCAAAAGGGACCGGTTCAGGGAGCACCGGTAGCGATTTTGTCCAGTGAGTTGACAGACCAGGACTCCAACATCCCCTGGTGGGACGTATGAACTGATACAACTACTGGACACAAGTTCGATTGGAGAATGGGGTGAATGGGCACCCTGAACGTGGATGACGGCTTGACCAAATGAACGTCGGCTCTCAGTGGATCATGAATTCGAAGTATAACCACGATACATTGTGAGTCAGACCATACTCTCAAATAAGAAGCAGATGAACGTGATGTCCCCCGGATCAGCCATCAGCTCTCTCCTGAGCGACCGGTTAGTAGGAAAGTCTATAACACTGTGGGAAGACCGAAAGTATTCATCTCCGGGCCATGTTTGTAACTTTTTTCCTGCCATTGTACTGTTTCGACACCTTTCTTATTTCGAGTCGGTGAATGAGTATGAACATAATACTATATATACCATAATATATATTATATATACTATACTATATCTGTCACAAATAGGAATGATATCTAATTCACCACATACGTCTCCACGACTCCGTTGCGTCTTTACTCAAAGGATTAAATTTCCTCACAGCAAAAGAACGAAATGTAACGTTTACGCAACTTTCATACGGAGGTCCTTGTATTTACATCAGTGAATATGACAACAAGGAAGTGAAATAGATTTCACGGTGTAAAGTTCTTTCCAGCAAAGTGGGGAAAAGTCACGTGACCTGAACAAAACAACCTAGTCAAATTTATCATACTTAAAAAGGCTGTGGTTGACGTACAAAGAGAGGGTTTAGGGCTTTTCGGAGGTAGTGATTGCTTCTTTCCTTATTTGTCAGTGTTTTGCTTCTTCTGATGCATTGATGTTCATGCAGAGTGGTAGGAGTATAGAAAAAAAGTGATGAATCAATGCATACAATGTTCTATGAAAATAAAACCATTGGTATATCTTTTGATTTATCACAGTCAGATATTCTTCACAATATAGTTAGGGGATTTTTTCCGAATGCTTCTGTTGACTTCATATTTCCACATTTAAATTCAAGTGGCAAACTTACGCAAGTTTCATCCATAACAAAGGAACTGAGCACTCTATTTTGCGTTTTCTATCCGTCCCGTCCCCCACGCGTCCCTCTTTGTCTGTCAGGCATTCATGTCCATGTTCCAAATCCTCACGCAAAAAGGTTGGGTTGCTGTGATGCATGACACAATGGATGTGGTTGAGAACCAGACGGTGATTACTGGTGTGGCAATATATTTCGTATTCTACCATTTGGTGGTGACCTTGGTGAGTCGGCCTAGAACTTTCGTGATGTATATTCGTTTTGGTTTTTTATGCAGTTGCATACAAATCTCTTTTCCATTCTTTAGGGATCAAACCAGTCATGGGTTAATTTCCTATTTGAGGCAAACCTCACAGAGTACATTCACATTCCTTGTTCCCCATCTGTTCAGATTGTACTCAGTTTATTTGTGGCCGTCATTCTGGATAACTTGGAACTGGACGAGGATATCAAAAAATTAAAACAGGTTGGTTATTTTTTCTCGCTTGTGTAACACAATTCGATACATTGTGATCCTGTTCATCCTAATCCAACGGATCTGTTCGTAGTGCTGGGACAATGACCGCGTATTATCCGTTCTTTTATCGATCGCCACTAGATTGTAGTTTTCCGTTCATTAGTCCCGGGCATTGTTTTCATTGGTCAGCTCTCTCCTCACTAGCGGCATNGGTAGAGATGTTGCCTGTCCCATGGACAGTTTGTCTACCCGCCGATCTATCGATCGGCTTGAGTATGCATTGGGTATGTTTTAATTCTACCCATACATTGATCGTTCTGACCTAGGCACGAATTCGCGGAACATATAAGAGACATTCATCACCTAACCTCGGTCAAACAAAATATTCCGGTAAACTTTAGAAGATTCGAATCACAACCATAATGATTTGCCATTCGCCTAGGTCAGAACGTTTTTCGCATTGAATAATGAATAATCATACAGCCAAACCATACAGAATAGATAGTTTCAAACCAAGAAACTAAACGTCCATAGGGATAATCCTGAACTGGATGATAAAATGATAGGAAGTTTGTATATGGTTATCAATCACAAAACTAATGTAGTTCACGAAAGAAGTGCATTACATCCCCAATACTATGGCTTTCATACCTATTGTGCATCCTTTGCACATTAATTCTCCGCCCTGCATGATAATCTCTTGCCTTGTCGCATTACTTTTCCACCCAGTTGTATCTTCTCTCCACTGTGTATTACCACTCTCTCCGAATTCTCATTGAAGCTTAAATAACATAAATCCAACATACATTTGAAACGACTAATCCATTCCCGCAATCATCTCCGGGATCGGAATTACGGGTTTTCTCCACCTACGTCAAACTGGTTACATTTTGACCCACTGTAAGTTCACGTTTCTTATTATGCACTGTTTAGTGGGATGAACGGCGGACGGGGTAAACCCCATAATCACGAGAACCTGCTGTAGGTTGATGGAAACCGTTAACCTAAATCCCGGGACTTGGAGTGGCTAACCCCATAACGCCCCGATAGGTTAGGCGTGGTATTGAACCGGACGACAGCAAAGCTGCATCAGCACGGAATGACAAGGATTTTATGCCACCCAGCCTGCAGTAATTGATCGATGCAGGACAATGTAACCGGGCTGATTCATAACTGAAAATCTGTGGGCCAGAGATAAAACGTGAAACAAAGCAATATCATGATCATAATGGGGTGTTGGTTTCATGCTACAGCAAGTCCAATGCACTTTTACTGAAACTATGGTCACAGAATGAAGAGAAAATGTAACCGAGCTGGGAATTCATGCGACCAGATGTGGAAACGATCGATGATAATTCACCGTTTCGGACTGAGACAAATTGTAAAAACATTCTGTCGAAAAATTGGGCGCATCGTGAGTCGGAGGGGACTCCTTGCACCTAGCACGACTGAAAGGTGTTCAACGATCAGCTTATTTTGATTGATATCATTACTATTATCAAATGAAGCTCTCATCGGATGAAAAATCCTCGATTTCTCAGAGGAAAATGTGAATAATGTTGCCTAGATATTTCGAGAGGAATACTCTTGCCTTACTTTTGATCAGCGATCGGTTTGAAATACCACATTCTAACTTTTATTGTTCAGAAGTTGTGCACTAAAAGCATTAAATCCCCTTGTTTCTATCTGCGTGTGCAGGTAGAGGACACGTGTTGAGCCTAGGAACCCTGTCATTACTCGATTCGGTCGCAAACGTAACGCATGAGTGTACATCAGTAGTACTGGCATGGAAACAATAATAGCTTTGACTATGGTTGACTGTCTCTTCAATTACGACGGCCGGGAAGGTCGGGTTCATATCGGCTTTCTTTCTGGAAAGGTTGATGTTTTCGGTCAACTGTTTATTTTCCCGAAGGTGGGATGCTTGTGAACCATGATCATCACTGCTTCGAAACGATTTTTGAGATACAATTCAGTTCAAGCAATTTGAAACAATCAGTATTCAGATGAACTCAATTGCCGGGGGAACAGGCTGAATTTCCTCTTTTTTATTGTGTAAATGACGTCAATTGCATCATCAAATGAATGATCTGGTTTGATCTGCGTGCTGATGTCTGTTTCCTCAGAGCACGATGCTTCATCGTTTTATTGATTTACTTTATGTTGCTTCTTTAAAAGTAGTTTGAACTAAAATTCTCTTTACTTCACGTCAACTCTTGTTGTTCCGTTTTTCATTCCTCTCACTAATAAATGTCAAACTAATCCACTTTGGATCAGATGCCGGTTTCCTCTCGGTTCATTGATTGTGTATAGTAGCTTGGTCATGTTCGATTGGAAAGTCAGTCACAAATGTCCCGTTTGTGGGCTTTTCTTGTTTCAGGCACTCACTCAATACAGTCTATCTGTATGAAGCCATTATTTGTGCACACTAAACAGCGATATTGATCTATCTCAGATAAGTGGCGAATAATTCTGATGCATACTTGGGGCAGAATACTAGTTAATCTATCGGGAACATTACCGTTTGTCTAGAAAGATGATTTTGAAGTAACTGAATCGGGCCGGAAGACTAACTGTGATTGTATCTAGTCTTCCAATTTCTGCATAATTGATTTTCGTCAATGATCTCAACCAAATATGGTTGAAAACATTTTGATAACCAAACCTGTTTCTTAATCTATCACTGTATGTCAGAGTTAACTCGTCTTTGTCAGTGTATCTGTTTGTTATTTCCCGATTGATTTGAACGTAGCGAAATCACGTATTTGGATACTTTGTATCTTTGAAACTTGAAGTGTTTCCATCATTTAAACAAGTCTTTTGATATGGTATGATCACCTCATAGAACTACGGTAGTCCGTAATAATTCTCAGCTTCTCTCTGTCTCGTTTCCTCTGTGATTTTATCAGCTTAAACTTCGCGAAATGAGTGCCGAAACCCAACAGAAATTACCGATGCGCTTGCGAGTGTTTGAAAAGTTTCCGTGAGTCATATCTATCGAATAAATTTTTGAAAACGATTTATCTCCGAAATTCAATTCTCGTGTGCAATTTAATTCTCTCTCTCCTAGTGATACTTGTTGCACGCGCTATTTCATTCAAGGTTGACCGAAAAGACCTTGAGTGACCTGAATCCCACGGCTTGTTGCACTTGTGTGACCTGTTGGTTGGTTGGTTGGCCGACTGACTGACTAGTCACAATTTAGTCCTCTTTCACCTCCATCTCATTTTCTGCTAGGAGACTGTTGTTTAAACTAACTTTTGATTTGCCTTGAAGCTGTTTCCTATGGGCAAATCAATAGGAGGTGATTCGCGTTATTCCAAAGCGATCCTCTGTTGAATTGGGGTTCATGTTTTGAACTGCAGGTGCAAAACAGTTATCGAATTCGTATTGCATGGCCATATTCCTAAACCTTATAACAATGATAAACACCCCAAATAGTTGTTTTTATTTGCATAGAGAAATATTTAGCAATTTTCACAGAACCGACTGAAAACAATAGCCATGTAACTCCATAAACCGTAGGTTTTTAAAGTTTGATCCCTGATTTTAACATCATCCATATTTTTATTCATTTTGACTATATTTTAGAGGAAGCATATCAAATCGTTCGATACGGTGTAAACAACAAGGGAAATGGCGTAAAAACCCTAAAGTATATTGATTTGCATACTCTATTTACAAGCTGACTCAAAGACCGAATACTTTGAGATAGGGAATTAATGCTACCAGATTTAAAAAGTTTTCGGGGTTAAGCTTCAAGAAATTTGCATTTTTCGTAAAATTGCAAACATTATTCAATACATTTTCTTCTTGCGATAATTCTTATCTACTGACCAGAAGGTAATAAAACGTCTTAAAGCCAGTAAATGGCGTTATCATGCCAGTCGACCGAATCTAAGAAGCACCATCGATCCCAGTGTGGAACGTGTCGACTTTCTACTGAAAGTATCGCAATTTTTATTGAAACTTAGAGTTTCTTCGGAGTATTTGTGCCGAATACTTCACTGTTTATTTTGGATAGAACGTATACATGTCTAGATATCAGAGTGGTGGTGGCCAAGTGGTTAGGTTACCAACTTGTGACCTGGGAGTCCCGTGTTCAAACCGCTCCACCGCCGCCCGTCTTCTCAGACAACCTTCGTATGTTTGCGATTCCCTTCCTGAATGTTGACTGTACATTTGTATGCACAATAAATAAAAGCGAAAGTAAAAAGACATCAAGATATCTTCATCAGTTTATCTGGGAACCAGCAAAGCGGAGTTGGGGCTCATCAGTAGCACGTGTTCAACAGGATTATCAGTTCATATTCCTTGTATGGTCGGCGCGTGCATCATACTTCTGATAATCCGGAAGTAGTCGAAAGTTTTGTCTACCTTGGGATTTGCATAACGGCCGGCGGAGGTGTGGGTGAGGAGATCTCCCAAAGCGTGATCAAAGCTAGATTAGCGTTTACTAATCTACGGCATCTCTGACGCCGCCGCGACATATCCCTTTCACTAAAGGGGCGTGTATATTGCGCAACGGTACGCACCGTGTTGCTCTATGGCTACTGGACCTGGCCTCTCCTAGCAGATCACGTCCAGCGACTATCAGTCTTCGACAACCGTTGTCTGCGCAACATCGTCCGCATATGCTGGGAGCATCGCGTGAATAACGATGAAGTCAGATAATGGGTGCTAGGGCCAGATAGTCTACCTTTGAGCAAAATAATTTCATAGCATCGTCTTAGGTGGCTAGGGCACGTCCTACAAATGCCTGAACAACGTCTGCCACATCGTGCACTATTCGCGGACATCGGTCCAGGCTGAAAGAAACATCGAGGTGGGCAGACTATGACGTGGCGCAGAGGGTTAAGGAGATCGCCCTCGGATCTGGCTTCCCTTGGGGTTTCTCGGCTCCCCAACTGGGCCCCAAAGATTCAGATTGTCTTTAGCTGGAAACACTGCGGGGTATCGCATCGAACCGAATTCATTGAAGCGAAGGCATCCTTTCCTGTTTGCAATCCCAAAAATGAACAAAGACGAAAACAAACTCAAAATGGATTGCAGTAAACAAACAAAATAATTGTTACTCCCGAAGTTGACTGTTTTGTTTTCCCCCTTTTGTACTTATATCTTTTCATTCACCCATGTTGATTCAGCGCCTTATCTGTAAAGGTTGATGTTATATATATATATACACATCCTGGGTACAAGTGTATGAATGAACTGGCAAAAAATTACCGGATACTCATGTCTGACCAGCGGCAAGAACTGCGAAACCAGTCGTGTGCTTACAGGGGAATTTTGTCCATTCATTCACAAAATACCACGTATATATTGACCAGAATCATCAATTCAGATTTTTGCAAACCACATCAGCTTTCAGTTCACGTGGAAGTTCAAAGTTGGTCCAGCGAGCTTAACTGCGGAGCGGTAATTGCAAACTACCTGAAATGTGCAGGAAAGATGTGTTTGGGCAAGAAATTTTCACTTGGTGTTAACAGACAGTCGCTTTATGGTGAAGTTAACTGAGTAAATTTTATTTAGGCCCATGCATGAGCAGACTTAAAACAGTGATTCTGGTCAGCCTCGGTTCGAGTTAAATGGCACGGTGCTAGCACACGCCCCTTTCATGCAGGGGGTAAATAACTAATTCTATACTGACCGACGTACATAAAACTGATGAGAAAGAGATAAATACGTTTTTGATCCTGACGGAGTGCATTGTTGACCGGACGAACTATGATTGTGGGTGACGCTGAAGTCTAAATTGTGAATAGTCAGTCAAAAACAATATAATCAATGCATCTAGTTCGAACTCGGCAGGGCCTTTGAATTTCGGCCGTGCTTTTCGAAATTGGACAACTATTTGCGTTTTTGCAGTGGATACTATTGACCGTACACGTTTACATCAATTCAACAATATTTCAAGGTCAAATGCCGACCTGCAACTTCTACTTTATGAAATCTGTTTATGTTTTCGCGAATGACGTTGGAATTTCAGCGCTTTCTCATTCCGTAAGGAATCGTTACAAACGGTTGAGAAATAAAAGTCAAAGTCGCCATAAAAAGCATCGCGCTGGTTGGCAGGTTGCTCTCCGGCGACGTTTTATCAACAGGATGACCATTAGGTTCATTTGTTTGAGTAACATTCGCTCACTGTTTGGGAAAGTCGATGACTTCCAGAATCTGGTTCAACAGAAACAATGCAAAAGTGTGGTAATCTTTTTACTCCAGGAAATCTAGTTACACCTAGGCATTGAGAATGATGTGGTGAGGATTGGACGGTTTTGATATTTTCAGTAGTGATCGGAATGTGAAATTTTGCAACATAGGTGGCGGAGTGGTCACTTTCGGGGATCGAAGTTAGTGTGAGAACACTTGTTTGGTTTTTTCCTACTCAACTAGTGAAATTAGTTGTTATTTTGTTTGCTGCAAGCGCCGCTTTCTCAGCAGATTTCGCTTCATTTACTTTGTGAATATTTATATTGCCCCTGGTACACTCGCCCCTGACTCAAGACTATTTTTTGATACTGTAGTGACGCAATTCGCCAGTTGTATTGACCAGTACTTGTGTATTACCGCTGATGACTTTATTCGTTTTGATACCACCTTTCTAGCCACTCTATGCTTAGAGAACCTTGTCAGTTTTCCAACCCGTACCAATGCCTTTCTTGATGGAATTTATGTAAATAGTCCCAATATGTTTCACGTTTTTAAACGAGCCCCAATTAGCACTTCTGATCACTGTATTATTCTTCTTTACTCCAAAATATATTGTAAAACTAATCACTGCCTTGATACACAACCCAGCTCTCGTACGCTACGGAAAAGAAATTGTTCTCCCGAGAACTTGTCCTGACTGCGGGACTTGGTTTTTTTCTACTAACTTTCTGTGTTCTTCCGTAATCAGCTGCCTTCTTCTTGCTACGGTATAAATGGCCGGCAGGCGTAACAGTGTTGAAGAGCTCTCTGTTATGATTAGAGCAGAAGTAAGCGCCTGAACGGAATGTACGTCGAGACTGTTTTGGGCAATACAACTTTCGTAAGATGTGAAATACCTTGCGGAAACTCTGTGACTCACGCATCAGTTCTTGTCCCAACGTTGAGGTGCTTAACCGTTATTTGTTTCTGTACCTGCATCTAGCTCCCTCCCGCCTCATTTTCCCACCCATGATGCAATAAACCGTTTCTTCGAAAGGGGTTCTCCTAGTTTTGAGGAGACTTAAGGCCAATAAAGCTCATGGTCCCGATGAATTAGCACCTCATTTGTTGAAATCCTGCACTGACCAGCCTGTGACACCTATTACCGAATTGTTCAGTACTTGTTTGTCATCTGTGTAACTCCCATGATCCTTTACAATTTGCTTATAAACCCCATTTATCCACACTTAACGCCGTTGCTCATATTGTTCATTCTGTTGCTTCCGTCTTAGACAATGGTGCTGATACTACTTGTTTAACTTTTCTTCACTACACAAAAGTTTTTGGTTCTCTCGACCGAAGACTGCCTATTGATCGTGTTTCTGAGTGTGGTCTAAATCTTGAAATCTTGAATGAACTAATCGACTACTTTTTACGCAGAGCCCAGCTTACTTCACTCAGTGGTGTACGTTGGCGTTGAAGCCGGTGTTTTTCAGGGTGCCTTTTTGACCCATTTCTTGTTTTCTATGTATATACAAAATCTGCTCATTCTTACCAACTTTATTGCTTGTATGTATGCTCGTGATATTGTGATTGGTTGCCCAACCACTATTTCAGACAGTTTTAATGAACTTCGCGATTGGTCTGTGACCCGATCTTCTGTAAGCACATTGAAGTTCCATTTAACCTTAAAACTGGTCCCGTTATCTTTCATTAGTTACTAATCTCCCTTATCTTAGAATTAACAATCGAAGTATTCCAAAACCTGTGTCAGTTAAATACCTTGGGGTCACTCTTATCTATAAACTGTCCTGGTCTACTCATGTCATCAACATTTTCATAAAAGTTCGAAAACTGTCTTTCTGTGCTTACAGGTTCAGGAAACTGGCCGTACCATATAATCTTCTTCTTAAATTCGCGATTGCCTGCATTCTTCCGCACTGGTTATACTGCTCCCCGATTTTTATCCCTGGACTGAAAGAAAAAGACTTCCCTTTATTTTCGAGATCCCTTGGACTTTTTTCCCCTCTACCGTGGATTTGGTAGAGTTGTTTTAGGTGATTTCTTTATTTCCAAGCCTCTTGACGCTTGTGATACATTCATTGACAAGATAACACGTGATTAAGTTCACTGTCTGCACCAAGATATCGCGAAAGCCCTGTCAAATCCCCGAACACGCTCAAAATATCAAGTGCTTCCTGCGCGGACATCCACATATCGAAACAGTGTAATTCCATATCTAGCTCGTTTACTAGTACATCGTCAGCATATTCTCACCTACTTTAGAGAAAAACTTTTGCCCCAACTATTCTCTCCTTTATTAAAGTGTAGAATTTCTTATGTTGTCTTTTTTTGCAATTGTTTTACCTATCCACTGTGAAATTCGTAAGTTGCTGAAAATTCATCCCTTGATTTGACTTGACGAAAGGTCGTATTTGAAGTCTTTACAAATCCCAGTCAGAGTGAAGCAAGTGTAATGCGCGTAAATGTATTTATACTGCTATCCAGAACCGAGGAAGTTTGTTCTGCATTGTCTGACATGAAATGACACGAATCCTCAAACTGAAATTTTGGAAATTTCGGTAGCATCGATGGGATCCAAACCCGCGCATGGCCGCCACTTCTGATTTCTACTGCACACGCTCTACCAGCTGAGCTACGGAACCACACCGATGGCACCGATATTTTCAACTTTGGAGCACGTTTTCAATATAAAACTTTTATCTGCCAAACAACAACTTAAACACTTAACCGTGTCTTAGAATTTGATTTGGTGGACCCCGGCGAAAACCTGTTTTGTCAGTCAGCTTGTATACTTCCTGGTGGCCTACGCATGCCTCTGTAAACTGGATGGTTGATTCGAATTTGAAAATGAAGCAGTGCTGTCTGTGTGGTCTTAAAGCTTACCTGGTGTAGTGTACAAAAGCGTAAGCAGCGTCCATGCGTGGGTTGCAATCCCACCGAAGATACTAAAATTTTCACGGTTTGCGCATTATACTTCGATCCACCAAACGACAATTCACACAAATCCCTAAACGAAAAACGCAGTTTAGCAAAAAAGCTTTTTTCGGTGACTCATCAACTGGCTAATACGTCACATTTTATATCACATCATTTTGTATAGAAAAGAGGAAACGAAACGAAAAATCGCATCCTAGCCACCACGGAGGCTGTTGGAATTCGTCTACATAATCCTCGCTTGTGCGCCCAGGAACAGTTTGTGAATTCACTCAACCAACTTGGCCCTCCACCTCCCATCCTCATACTGCTTCACCTCCTTCCCCTCCCAATCCCACCTCAAATCACACAATTAACACGAACCAAGCTTACGTTCCGATGGCAGGATCAGCCATATCCGGTTTTGTGAAATTGGGACAGAAAACAATAACAACAATCCCATTTGAATTATCATTAGTTTCGTTTCTTCTTTTCTATACAAAATGATGTGATATAAAATGTGACGTATCAGTCAGTTCATGAGTCAGCGAAAAAAAAGCTTTTCCTCTAATTTGCGTTCTTCATCCAATGTGTGTCACTGGCAAATTCCGAGAAATCCTTAAACGTCATAAAACATGTCCTTGTTAGTTTCTGCAAATCCATCTGATAAACTTGTACACCGAATAATTTGATTTCCAGTTTTCTCCCAACTAGAAGGGGTCGTACCTTGTGTTGCTTTCTTTTAGTTTATATTTGATATAACATGTTTATTTCTGAGTGGTTTGCACACTCAATCCAGTGGCATATTCTGTTTAAAAAATGTGCTCCTTGCAGTAAATAATTATAAAGTTCTCTAACTTGCTTGAGAATCAAAACCCGAGGATATCAAAGGACGTTTTCTTTCTTCTGTAAGGTCTATTACACTGCTTGAAGGTTCTCCGACTGGATCCTCATTTCCTACACACTGTATTCATGTCCACCGTTGTTCTCAAATATTTACATTCGATTTATCTCATTGGTTTATTTTGTTCAGCAATCGACCACAAATGATCCAGCTTACTCGATTGGTATCCGATTTCCTGATGCCCAAAATTCGAGATAGCTTTATGCGGCAATTTGCGGCTGTATCGGCACTGGAAGAGGTGGAAGATGAAACAATTGAGGAAATGTTATCGTCAATGTCCAGACCGGCTGTCAGTTCCACCGAGACACAGACTGTGGCTAATCGAATAAAGGGTCTATTTGAACCAACGGGAAATAGTGCTCAGATGGAGACCATTCGGGCCATCAAGCGCAAAGTCCACGGACTTCATGGGCAGGAGAAAGTTAGAGCAATCGTTTATTTGCTCAAGTAAGCAATTTGGTTTTTCCAAATCTATGTGCATTGCCTAATATAATCTTATCTCAATTTTGTTAAATGAATAGTAAAATAATTAAGTTTCTGAGGAGTAAGAGATTGCGACCAATCATTGACTGTCTAAGACGAAGGAACTGGAGAATATTTTTTGCTGCGTTAGGGAGATGGAAACATCGACCTTTCAGTCTATGTCATGGCGACCAGTGTCATCACTTTATCGCCGCTGAATGAAAGCAAGTACACATGACGGGGAGTTATAAAGTGTCTTTGATATCAAGGAATAGTACAAAACGAAATATAATTTTGGAAAGCTCATTCTACAAGTTACGATCAAATCCGAGATCTTGCTCAAAACGGGTGGAGCTTCTACCAGTTCTACTAGTGGAAATCAACTTAATTAGAGTTGACTGAAATCAAAACTCAGAGATGTATGCTTTTCTCACAAGCATGTCACATTTATGACGATAATTCTAAGCTCTCTGTTCCGATGCTGAAGGCACCTGAACAAGAACACTCAATCAGTTGTCACTTCCTGCACATAAAGACTGATGGGACCTGGGGTAGAATATAGTAGGGACAGCAGTCGATGCAAATATGACATAAGGCAAGATGAACCAGACATTTCTGGTGATCTAGTACTGGGAGTACCTGAGTTTTGCGATCCCCGGGTTATTTGTCAAAATGCGGTGAATGAACTTGCAATGCTGCTAATAGTCGATGCGATTACATTCAATGTCTATCCTAATGAAGTCTTGTGCGATTCGTTAGTCCAAGTTCAGGTTTTTATCCATGAACAGTGGATTCTTATGAGTATGAGATTTACCTCTTGTGTTATTCACCACTTGGTGATGTGATATTTAGATATAGTTTAAAAGTAAAACAGTTTTTCAGTTCCTTCCAACAGTGTTCTAATCTTAACTTGCATAACTGCTTTCACATAAAGTGTAAAAAATAGTAATAAACGAAAAGTTGTATATTCCCATCATTTAACCCTTTATTGATAATGATAACGATTCCGTAGGAATAGAAATGAAGTGTGTAATCCCGATGATAGTATTTGATACGCTGAGTAATGTTAGATGTTTGCAACATGTCAGTTCGCTAATATCGTGTAAAGACTAAATGAACATCTGATTGGCTGTCCGATGACCACAGGGCCTTGCCATGTGCGACCCTCATACGCAGATCGATTTTTTCCGCCACTGAGACTTCAAAAGCTGGTGTTTCTCTGTCTCTTCGTATAAAATGATTTTCTTTTTAATAACACACATTAGTGCGATGAACAGCAGATGGGGAAATCCCCGTAGACACCAGGAGCTGTGATCGAAACCGGTAACCAAAGCCCCAGAACTTGGAGTGGCGAACCAAATAAGACCCCGCTAGGTTAGGTGTGGTATGTGACCGGATGACAGCAAAGCTGTCTACCACCAAATTTGAGTGGTGATAGCGGGGATTGATCCTCAGCCCATAGGATCCAAAGCACGCCGATGACAGCGATTAAACCACTGCGCCACCAGCAAGGAATGTATTTTTGTTTTGTTTGTCCATTTCAATTTCCATCCAGATAATCTGTTGTAGTCTGCCTGCTTTTGTTTGCGTAAATTTTCTATTTCTCTGTTTCAGATTTTAACCTGTATCTGATCGGTTATATAATCCAATTTAATTGATAAACTTCTCTTTCGAATAGTGAATCGAACAAAACCCGCATGTTGAATGCGGAACAAACAACCAACACTGGGACTCGATCGCTTCTATCCACGCAACATCAGATTCGACTCGACCGAAGGTGAGCTTCAATTCACATCCATTCGGGCAGTTCATGCCAATGTGACTTTTTCCATCCACCATATGGTGTTGTTGTTTTTGTTTTGCAATGATTCGACGACTATGGGAGATTGTGCAGTTTGGGAGTACAGTTCAGAAATAAAGCTTCGGATAGTTGCAACAGTTCATGGAGGAAATATATAGGTTTTGCTTTTGGTGGCGTATTTATGTTTTTCCCTGCCCGATGGTGGTTGCCAGTCATGTTTCAGTTTACTGCCAGGACATTTTTATTCCACAGTTTAGAAGGCGCTTTCCAGTATTTTGTAGACTGGCAAATTCGAATTTTACTTAAATTCTTTGTTCATGTTTCTAATCGTATCTCACTACCCCGTAGTTTCTTTGTTTGTTTATAGTACAACCGGAGCTAGTAGTATAATCAATCTCTTCTGGAAGATTTTATCTCATTCCACTCAAAGAAGATTTATAGATCGGATGCATCCAAAAAATTGCCAAATCGAGTCAGGAGTCAACTGAACGCAATTTACTCGGAGTTTGCTACATTATGGCATACGTAAACAGCATAAGGACCCGAAAAACACTAATGCTCTTGTAAAGTATTAAAAATGAACTTAGAGATAGCTTATTGAACAAAGACGCGCAGGAAGTTTCAACCCTGAAAATCTTATCAAAATTTGTCATCCAAAGAAACAATGTGGCTTCGAATCACGATTTACTGATCATTTCTATGTAGAACTTTATGTCTACTTCACAAGCGCTGGCGATGTCACCTCCACTGGTGACGAACAGGCGAAATGGAATTCAGTACACCCGAACTACGAGAAGCAATTTTCGGCACTTTTTCAAGAACCTTATGTTTTGTCCAGCTTCATACTGGATGTTATTCGGCAAAAACGACGACAGTGGGTATAGGTTTGCTTGCTGTTTTGTTCAGATTATAAGACGTCTGTCTGTGATCATATTGTTATCATAGTACACGCAAACCAGGAACGACCAGGACCTGGATGACTGCATTTCCCCTAGTTTAATCGATTCCGATCCTATCTATAGAGGATTTATATATCGTTAAGTAAAAATTGTCGGCAGTGATCAAAGGTCGTATTTATTCGCAAAAGAAGTGATCAATAATTGATCAGTTAACCCTCTCTAACCGTGTTCAAAACCACTGTAATTTCTCTGCCCTTCACGCGTTTTCCTGTGACGCAACCCCGACTGACTTATTTCTAATTCATCGCAGAAACATACCAAACAACCGGAACCAGGTAACGTCAAACGTTTCCCTGAACAGACAAATAATAAAAACATTCGGAGTTATGATACATCATGATATTTTTTTTCGTCCACCATGATTTAGATTTTTCCATGCAATAAGACAAAATTTGTTTGTCTACTTCTGGTCAGATTATTTGGTGTTGGTTACCACCTCGGGGTAGTACTCCACAAGTGGCCCCATGCAAACTTCGAAAACGTTTATTTGCTCATTTTACCAATGCATATGCAAGTATCTAGGCACAAAATCTCTGTTTAGACATTGATGTGATTATCGTTAGTCATGAGTAGAATATTTGCCTTTGAGGGTGTGTGGAGGAATGTCACCTTAAACTCAGTAGCCAATGTATAGTTTAGCAGAAACAGCTGTTCAGTTCAGTATCTTTTTCATTGTGCGAAATGTGCGAAAATAACGCAGGTGCTGCACACGTTCACAAGTTATCTTTTCGGTAATGTTTGCGAATTTTTCTACAAACTCTAAGGAATTAGAGAATTACCCGTAAACTATATGTGGCCTTTATTGTAATTGTTGTTCCTAATCTTTCATTTCCCACCGGATAAACCTAACACATCGGTATATGCTTAACATGTGCCATTCATTGGCATCCCCGTGTTCAACACAAATGAAAGCTAGTCCTCTCTTGACATCAAAATTCGTTCTGTGCTCAAAACCGAAGCCTCAGAGGCACACCATTCAAATATTTCAGTTAATTGACGCGAAACGTTTGGCCCCTGTCTGATACACATTGTATATTGCATGAGGGACACTCACTGTCATCGTCTGGCTTTGTTGTGCTTTATCGTACATAACTGTGATACAACGCAGTAGGTAACGACATTACATTTCAAATGCTGTCTTGGCAAACAACTTTTTATGCTGTTGTTATTGGTTCCGTTGTCATTTTGTTTCACTTGCACGCAACTTTTAAGGAGTGTTCGGCATCGTACCGGAAATCCCGTGGGCGGTCCCAAACCATATCGGGCCAATGGGGAAATTCAGGCTAATCAATCGCGAGCGACATCGAGAGAAGCGGAACCACGTACCACTTCCGGCGATCGTTCCAGTCGTGTCGATATCAAAATGTTGCAACAGAAAGCCCAAATGGCTGAAATTAAACGGTACATGGTATTTTATATTTACTCTTGAAATAATTCACTTACCTGTAGATTTGAAATGCGTAGTATTTCAAACCTTAGCGGTGGTCTTTACAACGTAATGCTCACGTACAATATTTTTAAAAAATAGCGCTCAACTTTTAAACACTTCTTTCCGAGAGGTTCAACAATAAAATGGGGCACTCTGATATTTAAAACAATAGTATCCTAAAAAAATGTTTTAAATTTTAGATCAAATCTGTAACAGCAATTGCAATTCCATTAAATTCAGCTCACGACACTTTTCTAGAATTGCATATTTGGTATAGTATGTTAACTTCATAGTTCATTGGGGTATCTCGTTTTATGCAAACGTTTCCTTCGGACAGTTTAAAGTCATCTATGAGGCGATCTCCACCCATTTTTCAATTCCGATCAAATGTGATCCCTATAAAATTCAGGGAAGATTACCATAAGAATAATAGAAGACAAACAATATAGCGAATAAGCTTGTTTTCGCAACTTCGTCTTCAGGGATTTGCAGTTATGTTTATGTTTATATCTAATGCAGAAATAAATTTGATTGATCAATTGAGGTCAAGTGTGAAAATACAACAATGAACGTCTACTTTCATCTGAGCGAGTGGAGAAAATGGAGGCAGCGGGCGGTGGGAGACCAAGGTCAATTCTGGAGATTTCCGGTGGCCTTTACCATGTGCCATTTGTCACGGTATTTTTGTGTCATCATCACAGGAACTCACTCTGCCACCAATAAACATCATCTTGTTTGTTTATAACTGTATTCTAAAGTCACTCTGGGCAAGCCATAAAACATCAAACGGAATAAACAAACCGATTTCACAATCTGCTTTTAACGTTTCACATTGTATCCAATCGTAACTGCACAGCTGAGCATCAATGGTAAATTTACACATACCCAAGTCCGGCCATCCAACCTTCTTTCTTTCTCCACTACTTGAGCTTCTATTTACGAAATCAGCCTAGTAATCTCTACTAAAACGAGTGACGCGTTCAATAATCCGGAAGACTGGATTACTTACAGCTGATCTTCATTCGAATTTCGCAGAATTGTTTTTTCGTTGACAATAGTACTTAAAGTGATTAATCGGTGAGTGTTTTATCCTGTGATAAAGAACGATCATTTCGATCCACCACTTAAAGATTTCTTCAGAGGTATATAATAATGCATTATTTTGGAAGCTCCCATCTCCCTCTCTTGATCGTATGACACTTTAAACAGTACAAGCATAATGCTGATACATCATACTTTTGGATCCCCATTTACCATCCAATTGACTGAAGCCTGTGTTCTCTTCAACTATTGGTACTTGTTCAAGGTCAGCTTAGACTTATCGTTCGCAACCTAAAACTTGGTTTTGCTCGAAATAGGTTAGTGTTCAGTCTGTTCAAGCTGTTCCAATGGGATCGACATGTTAGGTCACTGGAAACCATCTCTTAACGTCAACAAGTTAACGTGTCGCGGGAGGTGCGTTCGAATCGTACCACCACCATTGCCTGTTTTACCCCATTCTTAGTTTTTATGGCAGCCCTTTGATTGACCGCTTCCATCTTCCTGAAAATTCTGTCATTATAAAATCAATTAAAGGAAGCAAAATGAAAAAGGTTTGATGTCCCTTTTGATTTAAAGTAACCTCTATGCGAATTAATTCGTTAAAATGCATTGGTTTGTTTCTTTCCTCTGAGTGGTATCTTTCTTTCCAGCCGATTATGAGTTGAACGTTTTACTGATGCACGCGCAGTTAGTGATGGTTCAGTCATTTCCGCTTTGACGAAATTGGCCGTGGCTAAATGTTGCTCACGATCTTGGTGAAATGCCATCACTTTAATCAGTAATGATTATTCCTTTTTTGAAATCCAGTACACAACAAGAAGTGGAACTACGGGAGAACCATCCATTTTTTGATCGACCGTTGTTCGCCCTGGGAAGAGACAACAGATTCAGACACTTTTGTTTGTTGCTTGTCGAGGCACGACATAAAAGCGGCGACTCATCTGATTCCACAGACAATGGCAGTTCACTGCAGTAAGTCCACATTGGTATGTTAAGGGATTAGTAGTCAGAACTCTGGAGACATACATAAAAATAATTGCCGACCTTTCCGTCGATAAAGCTATTTGTGCGCAACGCAGAAAGCCATCGACTGTTTTAGGTAAAGTATTAACAAACGGAAATACAAGTAAGGAAGAATATACGTCAAAAAGACAAAGTCTGACAGATGCAAACTAAGCCAAAACTACATCTAAAAGCTCAACACATTCTATTCTCCACCCCTACTTAGTGTATTTTCACCTCCATTTGTTCCCTCATTAAGGTTTTGACTGACTTAATGCATATATGTAATAAGTGGTATTTTCTGTTGCAAAGCACCAACAAGCACAAGTTGAGGTTTGAATACCAGTTTTATCTGAGCTTATTGTCGCCAAAGCCGAAAAGAATAAATGAGACCAAGTAGATTTCGGGGTTTCGAACCAGGAAACTTTAGGCGGTAATCAGGTGTGTTGTATTCCTACACGTGTTCAGAAGATCACTTTATGTATACCTGTTTTCAAGCAATTAATTCTGAAGATATTACACTCATACCTGAGTAGAAATAAAACTACAGGATCCTTTGGCTTGATAATGTACTCAGCAAGAGGATTTTCATGTTGATTCTGTCGTTGATGTTTTTGTTTTCTTTGTTGGGGTTATTACCATGCTATTAAATTAGACGAACTCTCAGTTCATCAGTAAGGAAGACAAGGATGGCGCATGGCAATCCATGGTAGTCACCCTGTGGAATGAAAGTGCAATAACTTAATCATAATTTGTTAGCGAGTTCATTGGTGAAAAATGTTGAAGGATTAAGGGTTTGGGGCCTTTGATCAACGGAATCTAATCAAAGATGTACATGGATTCGATGGATAACCACGAATGGCGGGTGATGAACATTATGGCTGTCAACTAGCTCACTATCACACATATCCTTGTGTGATTCTTCTTTCATTTATTTCTAATCAAACATATTCACGGTAACACCGTACACCTTTCCAATATACATCAAGTTATTATGTATAGGAAACATTATGGAAAACACTTGGTCCCTCTCATCCATTTCTTTGGAACAGAAAGAAGATATACAAGAATTAGACAGCACAATTTTATTTTATTTCCTCATCCAATGAAGCGTAAAGCAATCTGGTAAATATAAGCAGTAGTGGTGGTCAAGAAACATTGATTTAATAGGCTCGGTCAAGTTAGTTCCACAGTCAGTCGTCGCATGGCAGTTTGACCAGGTACACCAGCAACTTCCGCGCACGTATAATTTGATGGAGTAATTTGATTAGTATTGGTAAATTATGTTGTTGATTGGTATTAAGTTTCTAACTGCTTGCAGTTAGGGATCTAGGTTCAGCTACAGCGTCCTGAAAGAGAAAAGTGAGTCAGAACCGCTTGTCTTCACGAGACACCTCGAGTTTTTTCCAGGTTACACTTATGGTTGGTTTAGCGTCGTTGAGTGCAGCAGACAGTCGGGAAACGGGCCAATTAGTTCTCACAATAAGGGTGCCATCATAACCGGTTGAAGTGTGTGCGGTCATCCGAATTCAGTCCGTTACTGTTTGGTATCACTATCCTGGAACATCTTCTGTAAAGAGGCATGATCGTCTTAAAATACGTCGGAAGGGTAAATGTTCCGGGAACATTGGTCCCCTACCTGCGTAGAGGTCAACCCTAATCTTGCGCATATATTTGGTCATATAAAACCAAGCACACTTTATTCATCACAGGTGAAGCTGTTTGCGTATAAACTAATCTTATCTTGACAGCTTTGATCGAATGATTAAAAATATATGTTTATCTTTGCAGCGAATTTTTAATTAACCTTGGTGTGACTGAAGGTTGTTTCAGGACGCAGTTTGTAAACAATATTTAAATTCTGAGACTCTGGTATAATTTGCAGAGTATTTTCTTACACTGTAATGTTTTGAGAGCGGGTGGGTTGGTTTGTACTTGGTAATCTAGACATTCCGATTTCTGAATACCAAAATAAATTTTCTTATCTGCTTCATAGTAAACTTCTCGGTCATGTGACTTATTTGGATGGAGTGGCGATCTTCGTTACCATATTGTCCTGCGTTTCCATGTCCATTGAAACGCCACATGCCCGATTAATGAATACCCCTCAGGTGCAGGTAAGGCATTTTATATGATCAGTCAGTACCATTCAGTTTATTGTGGTTATCCTAATCTATCATTTCCGTTTTGCACAGTTTTCTCATTAGGATATTAGTAACATTGGTGAGCCTGAAAACTGTTTCTTTAGCTATCAGTTATTTTTCCCATGTTTTCCCATATTCAGAACACTTTTGCAACTAAAATTAAATGAAAAGCAGCTTTGATGGTTCTGATTTTCTTTAGTATTTAGGACAGACGGCCAGGTGCTCGTCTACCTGTGTCTTAAGGTATTGAGTTCCCATAACTTGACCCACCATAACTATATTATATATATATATATGTATATATATATGTATATATATATATAAAGTATTTCTCACAATTTGATTTTGTCGAGGTCACTCTGAATCAAGATTTATTCTTTGTTTCAGCCATTATCTCATAGAATGTTAGTGACTTCTTAAATACCTTGAACACTTCACACTTTTTAATTGGCGTAATCGAACGTCTGAATTGTACACCAAACAGTACGCACTGAGATTTTGAGCGGAAGGTCATATCGGCCTGTGAAGTTCATGAACGTTTGGGATGATACTTAAATTGTATATTAGATGTCCTTTGAGTCATGTAGGCAGTGCTGATTTCATTTAAATTATAGGGTTTAATTCTATCCTACAATTCTGTTAGATGGCGTTTTCATTGCACCGCTGCAGTGGTTCTGCTTTGTAGTTCATTACACAAGGTTTGCCAGAAAGATAAACTCAACGCGGAACTTTGTTAGATGGATAGGTGCCTATTGTCAGAAAGGCCAATGTCTTCATGAAAATCCGATAGCTTTTATAAGAAATCAAAATCAACCAAGAAGAAGCCGCCGAGGTTTGCAGAGAATTCATGGAATGTGCTGGAATGTATGGGCAGTTAGGAAAGCTCTAATCTGCCCGATGCTATTGTTCCTCTCTGCCCTGGAACATTCTTATACTGATTATCGCGCACAATTTTAGAATCCTCGAGGTCATCATATTTTCAAACTAAGCATGTTTTCCCCTTTAATTATAACGCAGTTATACTCCCCTGAATAGAACATTTGCAGTGATTTACTGCCATGCTTATCCAACAAAGCCCTTGTGTGGTTTGTTTAATCAAATCTGCTTTTAGGTTACTTGTTATCATGTGAACATGGAGTTTATCTGTTCAGCTGTTCAGCTTGCTAGGGTAGATACAAATGTTAATTGAGCTTGTGAGATATGACTGTCAATACGGAGATATATTTTAGTTTCCTAGATCACACCTTAGGCCTCTATTCATGGGTGAGGAGCATTTGTTCTGAGCTTTATCTCCTATTGTGGTATTCCTAAAACTCATGTAGCGCCATTTAAATTAGCGCAACTTTAGTCATCAAGACAAAATTTGGATGTAGTTTATGATTCACTGCTCAAAATATGAAAGTGTTAGAGACAAAATCGAAATAATCGTGATATCATCTAATACCCTGAATCTGAATGTAATTAAAAATGTTTTTCTTTGTTGAGACAGAGTAGTTAACTGCTTTAGGAGTGGTCGATAGATGCAAAGGTGCGGCATGTTCCGGAGAAAGTTACTGAATGCAATTCGATCATCAATTTTGTGGAATACGTGCAAAAACGACTAACCCAAGTACGGTAGAGAGTATTAATAAAAATGTAATTACAATGTGTGGCGCGAAGGTTTACTTGATGTCACCGGCTTGCTTTGGACCCTATGGTCCGAGGTTGGAACCCCGCTCCTGCCACCCAATTTTGGTGGTAGGCAGCTTTACTGTCGTCCAGTTCAATACCACGCCTAACCTATCGGGTCCTTATGTGGTTCCCCACTGCAAATTCCGGGGCTTTGGCTACCGGTTTCCATCAATGAACAGCAGATCTTTGTGACTATGGGGTTTACCCCGTTTGTTGTTCATCACACTAAAGTGTGTAATAAAAAAATCGCTTATAAAAAAATGTCTTGTGATTTTTTACTGTTCGGTTATCTTACAAGTGATTCTCTACCAACCGCCACATAAATCGAGGAAACCTGCTGTTATGAGCCATTTCGTGAATAAAAGTAACTGTATGAATACATACTATGATCAGTACTTTGTCTAGTGTGGGTTAGTGTCTTATTCGTTCCCGTGAATGTGGCTCAAAGCGTTAGGCATTGAGAACCTTACTGTGATGCAAGAGTTCAGTCAAAATATATGTGAATATATGTGCGAATAAATAAATGTGAACCGTCTAGTTTATGAGGGCTGGGGTTTCCTTATGTCTCTGGGATGGGCAAATTTTCATGATAATACCAACAAACCCATGCATCTACCGTTTCCATCCCTATGTCTCCCATCGCCACGCACCATCCCGGTTAGATTTGTGAATACATTTTCTTCGTCGTGATGACCATCGAGATGACATTGAAAATTTTGGCAAACGGTTTAATTTTCACGCCCAATGCTCTGCTAAAGGACTTTGGGGGATTTTTGGATTTCTTCAACTACATTGTGAGTTCACTTAATTTCAACAATCTTTTTTTGGCTAAATTTTGCTGGACCTTTTTGCAAGCGGTGAGTTTTGTCAAGTTGATGGTTTTCATTCTAATTTCTCTTTGATGATTTGGTTGTTGTGGTGAAAATTCCTGAATTCATGCTTGTTAATGCATGATTTTTAACTCTATCCTGACTTTGAACCTGATAGTTTAAAACAAACTTTCCTTTAGTTAACTAGCTATACTCACCTTCGCTTCTGATCCAACGTGCAGTTTTAAAGGAAATTAGATTTTATTATCTCCTTTTCATTCAGAGTGGTAGCATGTTTTATTTAGAAACCTTAATAAGTATCACTATTGCAGGTGTGCTTAAATAAGTTGTTGTGACTCGTCCCTTTGATATGCCAAGGGTTTGTCTAATCATTAGATAAATTCTCTGTCTACTGATGATAGCTGTAGAAAGATTTATGCTCCCGTTATCATAAAGCTCATAGGTCCTTAAGGACCAAGCGCAAAAGCCACTTAACTTTTGAAGTGGACAAGTTTATAATCTCCTGAACTGATAGCACGCCTATAGGACTGAAGATTCGCGTGGGTCGTCAAGACCAAATTAGTGTGAGAATGGCAAAGGTCGTACGAGATCTTTGCACTAATGAGTTCCTTCAAAGCTGGATGTGTTTGGAGATAGAATAAGAAGCCTTCAATGGTCTGCACAATTCATCTTGATCTCTGATGTCCAAACAATATTTCATATAATTTTTCAAGATCTATGCGCTATCATTCTCGGGAAAATCGTCAGCCGCACAGCAGTGAATGATATGCGTGTCTTTTTGTCACGCTGCTGGAGGTCAGTCGTACTGATTTGCTTTCTGATTGAGTTTTGTTTTTGCAATTATCAGTAGGAGTTTGATGAACCTAATAATTGTGCATGTAAAACGATGTACACGCTTCTGACTGTATTTTGACTACCTATATGTCGGATCTGGTCAATTAGATTCCGAACAAGATGAGGAAAATCGAACACATTCAGAGATTCCGTCAACACTGTTTTTCTGCAAATGCGAAAAGAATGGGTTAATGCGAAATAATAATGGGATAACATATAATATATAATACACATAATATATAAGGTATTCGGGGCGCTACATCAGTTCAGTGATGTATCATTTTTTTATTGCTCGATTAATAAACGGTTGCTCAGATCAGTTTACATGGCTTCATAGATCGCATAGATGCAACCATAAGTCGAGGTTGATTTAAGCATTGCACGTGTTAATCGATTGAGCAGAAATGAGCCTACCGGTCCAAGTTTCCAAAAGAGCATGGACTATCTTGTGTTTTCCTCTAGTTCTGATCATGGTTTTACTTATATCATGTTTCACAAAGTAATGGTCACGGTATGATAAACCTCGGAAAAATTATTAACAGTTAGTGGGATCTTGTTGAGAAATTGTTTTGTATATCAAGAAACGATTAATTATGATAACACATAATGCTGAGCCAAAATAACTAAGCTCCGACCCAATAACCCAGTCATGTCAACTCAGATTTGCAAATTTTTTTGCGTGCTTTTGAATCTCAGTATATTCGATGCATAAGTAGTGCTTACAATTTTCCATACGTCCGGTGATGTAGCTGTATGTAAAACGTCTTCAAGGATTCTCAGTGATGTACAACACGTTGACTTATTAGCTAAATTCGCTTTTGGTCAATATAAAATAAATCTATTTCTTTGTCTGTTCTTCGTTTCAACCGCTTCTGTATGAGATGCAAACAGTGCTCATCTCGTGAATGTTGCACATGTTCATTGGTTTGCCTTGTTCCCCCACAGATCAGTCTTATCTTTGTCAGCTATATGATTCGCGTAGAAGAGATTGGACCTGGTTCCGGAGGGCATATCCTCATGGTACTGCGCTGTTTAAGACCATTGAGGATATTCTGCCTAGTGCCAAAAATGCGTCGAGTTGTTTACGAATTGGTGCGCGGTTTCCGTGAAATTCTCATGGTAAGTTCTATGATAGGTTGCTAAAACAATTGCATGAGTGTTTCTGAAAAAATTCTCGTCTTCAGTCAGTCAGATACCGTTTATTAGGCAATCATCAGAAATCAGTCTGATTTACCTGTCGAGGCTGATCACATCTAACACACTAAACACAACGTGGAAGCATTACGATAATGCGTAATTGCACTTATACAATAAAGCTTGTATGAAAGCCATCAAGGAATAATAAATCGAACTTTATGGAGATAATCAGTGAGTTCTCCCAACGGGTAGCAGTTATCGCTTACCGGTTCATATTATTATTTATCGTGGATAGGTTGCATATACGAATAATAATTCGACTCCGACTGTTAGGGATTGAGGTAAGAGGCTTTCGTCTACCGTGTCCAGCACCACGAAGATGAGATGAACAGAAAACGAAACGTCCAAATGTTATCTCAGTGTGATCGAGACACTAATATCCGTTGAATAATAAAGGGTTCAGGAATGGTGGTACTTTACATATTTCTTGCTTTCTAAAGTGAAGTTTGTGGATTGTGCAAAACGAATGTATTTTTTCGTTGAAATTGTGCTTCATCCCCCTTCCTCATGAAAACAGGGTAAAGTTTTCATCCTCAAAAATTATTTCATAATTATATCTGCATCTGTTGTTGTTCTAATAAGACGGACATTTGATGTAGGTGAGACATCAAGAACTTATATTCAATGGAAATGTGTTCTGACTGGCAAAGATAACTGAACAGTTGCTCCGTTTAATTTTGGAGCTCGCCAGCAGTGCATAATTTTGTGTTCCTGCCATGACTCGAATCACGAACCTTCCCGTTTGGGAGTCGGAAGGAACCCTTACGCCTGAGCTACACGGTCACCATTCTGTGAGCATGGCTCAAACAGTTTAAACTATCGAATTTCGATTAGCCAATCCGATTACCCAAAGTCAATAATCATTGCTTTTAGAGTAACATGCTTGGATTAACCCATTCGATTATTAAGAGGCACCAGGCACTCTTGATGGTCTGAGCTGCCTCTTAATAATCGAATGGGTTAATCTCAACTCGCTACTTTAAAATCAATCATTGTTGTTTTGCCCGTTCACAGCTAACAAGCTATCTAGTAGTTTTTGTTCGATTATCCAAAAGTAAGAGATGGTGCCTCATCATATGTCCTCAGTATGCCTAAGTTTTTGCTACGTCAACTAACAAACGACGGTACCTCCCTTGCTGGATTCATCAAATTCCACACCCTATACTAACCAAAGTATCATTCATTACCGAAAAGGTGAAAGCAAAGCTACTGGCTTTGAGGAAGAATTCACCGTGAGAGACAGACAATATTTACCTCCAAAGCCTTATCTGCTTGGCAAATCAAATAGCCGAGCCACTAACCATCCTATTCCAGAGGATGTTTGATCACACTGCGATCCCACCGTCGTGGAAGCAGGGAGTAATTTCACCCATTTACAAAAGCGGTTGCCGTAGCGACCCCGCTAACTCCCGCCCTATAACCCTCCTTCCAGTGCTGTCCAAAGTCATGGAGTCTATAGTAGCAGATTCCCTGATGGAACACCTAGAGAAGCACAAATTTTTGTCATCAAATCAATAAGGATTCCGAAAGAATCGATCCTGCGCTACCAGTTTGCTGATCGTACGAGAAGAATGAACAAAAGCAGTTGATGACGGTGACGCGGTAGGCGTTATTTATCTAGACTTCTCAAAAGCGTTCGATCGGGTGAACCACGACATTCTACTGCGGAAACTCTATAATCACGGTATTCGGGACCTCGTGCTTGGTTGGATCGAAGCATTTCTTCGACATTGCACAGTATCGGTTCGCGTTTCTGATTCGCTTTCCAGTCCTATGGACGTTACCCGTGGGGTTCCACAAGCATCTTTGCCTGGTCCGCGACTTTTCATAACATTCATAAACAACCTATCGAAGGCACTGGGACCAAAATCATTAATTTTTGCAGATGACGCCAAAATTTGGAATACAGCAACGCAACCAGCGGGCTCACTGGCACTCCAGGAAACTTTGAAAGCAGTTCATCTGTGGTCNATTATAAACGATATTGAATTCAATGTACCAAAGTGTAAAGTTCTATCTCTACGACACAAGGGGCGATTTTAGTATTCCCTCACGCCGCAAGTGAGAATGACCTGGTCATCATTCAAGAAAACTTAATCTGCTCACTCAACTGCACCAAGGTGTTCAACGCAGCTGTAAAGAATGTCGGTTTGTTTAAACGGGTCTTTGGCCGGTTTGAGTCAGCGCTTTTCCCCCGTCTACTATCAGCATACATTCGCCCACTCACAGAGTATGCTATCCAGGCATGGAATCCATGGCTACAACGTGATTGCAAATTGCTGGAGCGTCCACAAAGGATGGCCACCAAAATGGTCAGGGGGTTGAATCGATGTTCATACGCAGAGAGATTGAAGTCACTGAGGTTATATTCCAATCAATACCAGCTCATCATAGATGATATCATTATGGTATACCAAATAATGTAAAACTGAAACCATCCGTGTCGCCCGCTCCTGAGGTTATCACCCAACGTTCATCTTAGAGGACATCCCTTCAAACTTGTGGTCTCACAATGCCGCTTTGAATGCCAGCGTCAGTCATTTGTAGTCGAGTGCGTTCGGTCTGGACTTCTCTTCCATCCTACGTCGTCTGTGCTCCAAGCATTGAATCTTTCAAACTGAGACTTGATGAAACACTAGCACACCTTACATTCCAACATAAGTGAAGCTGCGTGCAGCACGTATCACGTGACGTTTTACACAAGGAATTGTGTGTCACTTATTTAACCACCACACGAACCTATGGGACGAGAAAAGCATCAGCTATTAAGTTATTACCATAACAAATCTTTGATCTTTGGTATTGATCGTATTGATCACCAAATTTTACCAGCAAGTTCTCTTGACGGTCAGCGAGTTATCGGCAATTTTGCAAAACCCGTTGCTTTCCTCCGTCCAGGTTTCCGTTCTACTGGTCGTATTCATGTTCATGTTTGCCGTATACGGAGTTCACCTGTTCGGAGGCCGTTTAGCCATTTGCAATGATCGCAGTATTACCAGCAGAGTAAGTCCATACCCTAAAAACTAAACGTAGCCTGTTTTCTCTTTTATAGTGGTAGTGCTGAGTACATATGTGATAACAATAATTCAGTTCTCTTCATTATTATACTAATAATAATTATTTTGCTTTCTTGTTCACAGTTACTAGTCTCGCTCCCGCCTGTATGATATTTTATTTTTTACGGTTGACTCTGTTTTACTGAATTGGTGTAACAGCAAGGGGTTTTTGGGGTGATCACAGCTTTGGAAGCCATTATGAAGCTTATTACACTTCGTC